TCTGTACGCTTACGTCAGTTACTGGGAGTAGGCTGTAAATACTTTAGCCAAACGCCAGCTTGGGGCTCCCTTTTTTTGGGTTGCCTTCGGCTGCCCGTTTTTGACTGCTTTTCGGCTGGTTTTTGGCCCGCTTCGGCTCGTTCGTCTACTGCTGCCAGCAGCAGCAGTAGCAGTAAATATTTATGCTTGTGTTTTATTTATTTACATTGTCAAAACCAATTTTGCCCAAGGGTTCGATTGTTTTTCACCCTACACAGCCAGCCGGCCCCACACTTGTCAGCGAGACGCATGCAAACAACATTTTTCTGGACAGAACTTTGACGAAAGTGTTGTTTGCTTTCAATTAAAAAGCTTCGCGCCTTGTCGCTTTGTCATCCACCTGCCAAATACTTAATCGCCGGCTGGATCAGGGCGTAAAGTAGAAGTGAAAAGTGAAAAGTGGAACAATCCAGCACTTCGGATTAGTCCCCAGTCGACACTCGACATTTCGATTGCAATTCGAAGCTCATTCTGAATTATGGGCCAATTAACTTTTCATGTGGCACTTGGTCTGAAATTGAAACGAGTATCGGCAAAACGGCTTTCGGATGAGGTTAAGCAGCAAATGTCATAATCAACCACATATTTGTACACTGGCCAGCTGATTGCCTCTCCAGTTTTGCTGCCATAATCCTATGTACAGCCCTTTGGTCTGAGGTCGAGACGGCTTAAATGGGTAATTGCCCAATGCTTAGGAGCAGGAGAGTAGAGAACGGAAACGGAAAAGCATTTCCCACTAAAAACATTTCCTTTAATGCTGTGCGACTGAAAGGTGTTAGCTCTTCTTACAAATAACTTTGCCTGAAGCTAGTCTAGTTAAACTTGTCTCAGCCTTCGCCTAACTTAACTTTAATACAATTTTAGCCATTATAACATATATGTTATATATATATATAGCTTAACCTGAATATCTCTCAAGCTTAAGCTCAATGTAAACCTCAGCCTCATCGTTAACCTCAACCTCAGCGCGAACCGTAACCTCAACCTTAACCTTAACCTTAACCTTAACCTTAACCTTAACCTTAACCTTAACCTTAACCTTAACCTTAACCTTAACCTTAACCTTAACCTTAACCTTGACCTTGACCTTGACCTTGACCTTGACCTTGACCTTGACCTTAACCTTAACCTTAACCTTAACCTTAACCTTAACCTTAACCTTAACCTTAACCTTAACCTTAACCTTAACCTTAACCTTAACCTTAACCTTAACCTTAACCTTAACCTTAACCTTAACCTTAACCTTAACCTTAACCTTAACCTTAACCTTAACCTTAACCTTAACCTTAACCTTAACCTTAACCTTAACTACCTTAACCTTAACCTTAACCTTAACCTTAACCTTAACCTTAACCTTAACCTTAACCTTAACCTTAACCTTAACCTTAACCTTAACCTTAACCTTAACCTTAACCTTAACCTTAACCTTAACCTTAACCTTAACCTTAACCTTAACCTTAACCTTAACCTTAACCTTAACCTTAACCTACCTTAACCTTAACCTTAACCTTAACCTTAACCTTAACCTTAACCTTAACCTTAACCTTAACCTTAACCTTAACCTTAACCTTAACCTTAACCTTAACCTTAACCTTAACCTTAACCTTAACCTTAACCTTAACCTTAACCCTAACCTTAACTTTAACCTTAACCTTAACCTTAGCGCCGACTTATATAAATCTTAGATCCATCGTCACCTAGGGGTATATCAAGCCACCTCGACCCTGACCCCTTACCGATCTGAGTATCAGCTGAGTTATATCAAGTATACGCAATGATAGCTGAGCCACTTTTATCGATTGTTTTGCATTATCTGCTCTTTGGCAATCCAATTTACTCAGATGCCGAGTGCTCTATTGAGGCAAAGAAGGAGAGTCCATTCAGACCAATCCATTGATGTAAGCACGACTGTGTGTGTGTGTGTCTGTGTGTGCGTGTGTGCATTAGGTTGTTTATCACGTTAAAAGATTGAATGAAGCCCCTTGAATTGCCACAAAAGACAACTAAAGCACTTGGAATCCTCTTTGTGTTGTTGTGTTTGTTGTGTGTGTTGTGTTTTTGGATCAGAACTGAAACTCGGCCATCGGGGGGCATTCGCATGTCAACAGAAATGCCTTTCAATTTATTTAATAATGACCCCAATCAGTGGCTTGACGGTCCCAGCTTAAATCTGGTCCCTGCTCCGGTTAAGCGGATGGGTCGCTGCGTTGTTTGAATGAGAACTTTTATTAATGCCAGAACAGTCTGATGTTGACTACCGATGCTATAGCCTGGTGTTCTTCCTTCTCTATCCTTTCATCCAGCTTCATTATGCTCCTGAAATTATGCAAGCAACTTTAATCCCCGGCAACTGGCAACTGGCAACTGGCGACTGGCAGCAGGCAAATGCCCGACACGAGATATTGGCACTTGGCTTCGTCGCGCAGCATCGCTTCAATCCTGCCCACCAGCCCCTGCTCCCTCTTCAACTCTTACACAAGTTAACCCCCCCGCCGTCAACACACTTATCTGCAACTTGCGCTTTATGCATAAATGGCGCCCGACTTTGTAGTTGACGCATTCCCATGCAGCTGAATGGAGGGTCGGCGGCGACGACAAAGGTGGTCGTGAGCATGAAAGGGGGTTTGTGGGAGGCGTTGCTCATTTAGCATGAGCTTGGTTTTGCAGCTTTTAAATTAAGCGCAGAGATACACTTAATGCTCCATCAATTACCATTCGTTTCTTGTTACTCGCTAGCTTTGCACTCGCTCTCGTTAAAGTCGCTCGTCAGAGTATCCCCAGTAATAAATCAAATGAAGTGCAGTATTCTGCAGCTACATTTTTTTCTTTAAAAGCAATTGGCTACTCGAAAGTTAACGCAGGTTTTCGCTAATTCTCGCTGGTCTTTTGCTAAGGTTAAATTGAACGATTAGTCACTTGACTGAGCTCGAGTGAGTGCAGCTAAACTTATGAGTTACTCTCTCTCGCTCTCGCTCTCTTTTTATGTATATGCAAATATATCTATATACATATATCTTCCTCTTACTGTCTCTCACTTTGTCTGTCCTTCTCTCTCTCTCGCTGCCCGCACATCTTATAGATAGATATTGATCCGCCTTAGCTGATCCCCCATGGCTGACTGTTTTAATCAATTGCTCGTTAAAGTAAAAGTTTACATCAATCTCTCGCCCCAACCCTTACCCTTTCGCTCGCTACTCGCTCGTTTGTATACTCTTTCTGCCCTGTATATGCTCGCTTATTATAAGTATGTAGTGGCTTTCCGCACTTGACTGAATGCGTTCTACAAGCTACTCTCTGCGTGCATCAGTCTCTCGCTACTCGTTCATGTTTTACTCGCTCTCGTTACAATTTTTTTCGATATTTTAATCGTAGAGCTCAGCAGTTGATGCTATTAGCCACTCGATACTCGCTCGCACTCGCCACTCGCCACTCGCTACTCGCCACTCGCTACTCGCCACTCGCTTCTCGCCACTCGCTACTCGCCACTCGCTTTTGGCTCGCTTGCACTCACCACTCGCCACTCGCTCGCTTAAACTTCAATTTAATCGAAAGTTGACGCAACTGCACCTTTCACCGCTCACCTGTTTCAAGTGAAGCTCAGAGACTAAGACACCATGCCCAAGTACTCGACTACTTGGGGGGGGCAGCCAGTGTCGCCTGCAACAGGCACAGGCTTGGCTCAACCAAAATGCAATTAGTGGCCACAATATGGCGACGGGTGGGCGCCAGCTGGGCGGCTGTCGGTTTTATTGACGTCAAAATGTAAATGGAAAATGAAACTGAAAATGAAAGATGGCGACCACAAGTTTCAAAAATCACTAATGGATTTTTAATACAATAAATATTATTATGCACTAAGTGGGCAGCAGGGTGTGCTGCGCTCAAAGGAGACAGACACAGTTCGTGCGCATGCTAGCCGCCAGGGGTTACTGAGTAGGGGGTGGGTGGGGCTACAAAAAAAAAACTCTTGTCATCCATTAAAATGACACACAGCCCACGCACAAGTGCTCTATATACACATACATAAGTAGATACACATATAAATAGAACGTCAATGAAGGAGTTGATGAGACAGCACCAGCCCATTAGAAAAAATGTTGGCCTAAAAGCAATTGAAATGGTCTATGAGTGGGGAGGGGAGAGAGGGGGGGGGGGGCGTTGGCATCGATATAATTGAATAGATGCGCCTTTATTGCCATAAATGCTTTCTGCAAAGGACACAACACACACACACACACACACACACACACACACACACACACACACACACACACACACACAGACAAAGTGCTATGTGAGGCGACAAAAACCACAGAAAACATTAAAGGCCAAAACACAAAGCAGGCGGTAAAATTGAAAGCAAAGCCGAGCTGCCTCATATGCCAAAATCTATTCAATGCCCAATAAGCATTATAAATTATATGTAAATGGAAGAGGCAGGAAAGAGACGAGCTCCGACATAAAGCCAAGCTCGTTTTCTCAGTTAAATATATTGAAATAACAGGAGAGCTAGATTTCAGGCAAAGCCCAGGAACAATCATTGATTTATAAAGTTCATCTGTATAGATTGTCTCTTAACCAAAAACAATCTCTTGCCAGATAATCTCTTCAGATATGTTCTTATCTTCTTCATGTTTCCTGACAAAAAAAAAAAACAGCATTTCTCAACTCAAGGAACTTTTAGAAGACTTTCAAAGTATTTCTATCGGCTCAGGAATTTATTAAAAATAAAAATACAAGCTGAGCTCCCGAATGAATATTTGAAATATTGTGCTAGATTTGTATATTATTTGTATCTCTTAATTTATTTCTATAGTAAAATATATACAACAATTTTTAATATATCTGAGCCATAATTATACATCATAATATATACAACCTATAATATATAATACAATAATTATACATATAATTATAATGTTTAATCTTATTAATAAGTTGTATCTTTTAACTAATTTCAGGAATGAAGCTGCGCAAAGGTCAGTCAAAGGTAAGTCTTTGAAATAAAACTAAACTGAATTCGAAAAATTTGTAAATTATTTTACTTGTTTATTATTTATTTTTATGAATTTATATATTATATGTACAGACAAGAATAATGACTACAAAAGCAAACGAACGAGCTTAAGTCACAAAAAAAGAACACATTTTTCTTAAATATCTCCCGAAATGAATGTTTGAATATATTCAAAGGGAAGCAATCGAATCGATTGCCGTTAATCAAATATTTAATTGGTAACATTTCAATTATCATAAATGAACAATTATCAATTTATAATATAATAATTAAAGAAAGGGAATGCTAGTTTCTAAGGCCATCGACTCGACACATTGAATTCCAAATCTTAGTTTCAAAGCGTCGACAACTTGTTTAGTTTATGTAGAGCATCCAAAGGTCGGTGGGCTTTGCCGTTAATGCTATTTATTTAATTGAACGAAATCAATAATTCATTAAAATAATGTATGCATACGGGATGAATATTTATGGCCAATGGATAGGCGATAACAACAAAGTGCCACAGCATGAGCTATGCAAATCGACTAGGGTTAGACTGAGACTCTCTCTCGCTCTCTCTGTGTGTGTGTGTGTGTGTGTGTGTGTGTGTGTGTGTGTGTGTGTGTGTGTGGCAATTGGCATCCGAGTTGGCACATGTAATCCCCAACATTGTTGTTAACAAACTGGCGAAACGGACTGCGGACTGCGGACTGCGGATAACTCTGCTTAGCAGATAATAACTGACAGCACTGTGCAAATGGAAATTGAGATGAAAATGGGAAATGGGAAATGTAGATGGTGGAAAATAAAGAAGTTAAAGCGAGAAGCGGCTCGTCTAAAGGCGCGGGCGAAACAATCAAGGAAACACTTAACCGAATGAAACACAAGTAAACAAATGAAAGTAAGTAAACACAAGACAAGCCAAAAAGCAAATAGTTAGAGAATATGGTCAAAAGGGGTGCGCGGGGGCTGGGTGGTGGTTAGGGGGAGGGGAGGTAGAGAAGGCAGCAGCAGCAAGTGCTGGTCGGAAACAAAGCACAAGTTGAGTCCAAAACTAAAGCAATGAAATAAAATGAAAATGAAAATGAAAATGCATTAAGTATGCAAAGGCAGAGATGCAGATGCAGTTGGAATTGATGCCAACTCGGAGTCGGAGTTGGAGTCGGAGTCGGAATTGGAGTTGGAGTTGGAGTTGGCGGGTAAATAAAGACGCTGCCAACGGCCATAACGAAGTTGCGAGCAGAGCCACCAGACGGCCATCAACTTGATGCATGGCACAGGCAGACAGAGCTTGTCACTCAGTCCGTCATTCATTCATTTACTCACTCATTCATTCATTCATTCACTCACTCGCACACTCAGACAGACAGACAGCGAGTAGTTGGCGACATAATGCAACAATGCGCCGGCATTTAAATCATTTTTATGGCCAGCAACAGCATGCCACATGCCACTTGCCACATGCAACAGGAACAACAACAACAACAACAACAACAACAACAAGAGGAACAACAGCGGCAACAACTTGAAGCCAGACAATTACTTTGGCTGACAAGCCAGCATTTTTAAATATCCTATTCTCTAACAAACTTGCTCTACCAACTATCTATCTATTTAATAAATAAACAAGACAAATAACAGTCGGGTGTGCTCGACTAGGAGATACCCTGAGCTAAGCAAAATAGATTTAAGGAAAATAAGTCAGTTCCGCTTTTCAGAGTGTGCTTTGGCTCGGGCTCGGGCTTTGCTGTTGCAGCCAATATTTTTGTTCCCCTCAATAACTTTCAAGTTTCTTAACCGATTTTGAAGAACTTTTCAACACTGAATCTTATTATGCTACCGACTATTTGTATACACTCCGAAAGCTTTGGATTTAAATTGTAGCTGAAATTTGTGAATAGTTTTAATTGATTTAGAGCTAAGCAATATACATAGTATATATATCTACTTATTGGGTTCGGTGAAGCTTCTTTAACCCTGTTACATATACAGAAAACCATTAGACCTTTATTTCCCTTTGTTATACCCTGAACCCATTGAAAATGGGTAAAGAGGGTATATTGTATTTGTGCAAAATGCAAATGTATGTAACAGGCAGAAGGAAGCATCTCCAACCCCATAAAGTATATATATATTCTTGATCAGCATCAATAGCCGAGTCGATCTCGTCATGTCTGTCTGTCCGTCCGTCTGTCCGTATGTATGAACGCAAGGATCTCAGAGCCTATAAGAGCTAGAGACCTAAAATAGATGTAGGTGCTCCTGGTGCCTGCGCAGATCGAGTTTGTTTCCGATAATCAATAACTTACTCCGTTTCCAAGCAATCGATAAAAATCGATATCGATAACCTGTTTTTTAGGCAATTTTGGTAAATAATAAGAGCTAGAGTCACCAAACTTGACATATAGCTTCTAAACTAGAATATATATGTGCATTTGATGTGGGAGGAAGAGGGTGCTGGGTATCCCCTAGTCGGCAGCTCCCGACTAGAACCTCTTACTTGTTTGTTTTTGAAAGGATTCAGGGTACAAATATATTCAAATGGGATGCTAGTTCCCAATAGAACATCTTTACATATTGTCTTTATTCTATGCCAAGGTGTTCCGGTTCCTTCTCGTCTTTTGTAGCTCTCACATTTATGTGAGCTGCCAGCTCGCTTAGTTAGTGAGTGAAGAGCGTACGACTCGATGGGTTAGAACGAATTGAATACACACTTATGTGTGCGCCTTCTAAGTAATGTGCCCAAACAGCATGCCTGAGGCCTTTTGCCCGGCTTGAAGGGCATTTTGGGCAACCATCAACGGCTGCTGTTGTGGCCCACAACTTTTTCTATTAGCGCGGATATTTTTTTTTTTCGATTTTTCGATTTTGATAAATTCTGATGCGTCTTTAATATCAGTTTGTCATTGTCGCTGCCGCACTCCACAGCCGATTGTCATCAACAACAAGAGCTAGAACAACCACGAGAACGACGACGACGACGACGACGACGACAGCTGTTGCTATCTGCGATTCGGTGTTGTTCGCACATTTTCCTGATGAGTTTTCGCATAAACAGCTCCAATAAAATATTGCTCAACATTTTTCACTCAACATTTTGCAATTTAGCTTCAGTTGCGCCAGTTGGGCGTAAGCATGGGCTCGCTTAAGTGATTACCGATTATTCTCAAGCTATTCGATAACCGATTACCGATTTAAAGTAACGATATTAAGGAAGATTTCAATAGGTATTTGTTCACTTTGCAGAGCGAAGAGAGAAAGAGAGCGAGCGGGAGAGGTCAGGAGAGAGAGATATTTGGAAGAAGAATGCTTAAATTTAGTCTAAGTATCATTTTTCAGAAATATTAGATGATGGCAGGCAGAGTTAGTCAACGAGAGTATCAAAATAATCGAGTTAGTAAATAATAAAAAATAAGATTTGTGGGGAAAAGTGTTGAGAAACCGCTGAGAAACGGAGAGATTGGGAGGAAAAGAGGGAGAGAGAGATAAAAAGAGTGCTTTAAAAAGCAAATATAGATCTCTTCGGAGGACATCAAAGCTCACGGAGATTACGAATAGATTGTAGTGCTTGTGTATAAAAACAGTGTTCGAAAACACGTTAAAATATGTGCTCGCTTAATGATAAGCAGATGACATACTTAGGATGAAATTTGAAGCTACTTTTCGTATGTTAAAAACCTCGCTTGGACCTTCTCTTATTCGAAAGAGTTTTCGTTCGGGCAGTGTTGGAAAGTACCGCAAGGCAACTTCGAACTTATTTGTAATAACAGCCCTGGGTAATGCATAGACTTAGGAGTCTTCTCCACCATCTGATGTGGTGTAACATGCTTTTCCTATGTTAAAAACCTCGCTTGGACCTTATCTTATTCGAGGAAGTTTTCGTTTGGGCAGTGTTGGAAAGTACCTCAAGGCAACTTCGACCTTATTTGTAATAACAGCCTTGGGTAATCCATAGACTTAGGAGTCTTCTCCACCATCTGATGTGGTGTAACATACTTTTCCTATGTTAAAAACCTCACTTGGACCTTCTCTTATTCAAAGGAATTTTCCTTCGGACAGTGTTGGAAAGTACCTCAAGGCAACTTCGAACTTATTTGTAATAACAGCCTTGGGTAATCCATAGTCTTCTACACCACCTGAAGTGGCTCTGCTTCAGGCACTTCATTAAATTTCGTACGCTTGCGAATGTTGTTTATTAAATTGTTTAACAATTTCTTAACCCCATAACGCCTGGCGAATAAATCAAATGCGGCCCGGCGTTGATTGCGAATCAATGAACTCGACACCCAGTTAGTCGGAGCCAAGAAGCTGAAAGGCGGCTGCTGTGGCAGTTGCAGCTCCTGCTGCTAATTTACTAACGTTAATTAATGGCAAAATCGAAAATGTTCGCTTTGAACTTTGAACCTAACCGCAGTGCCACAGACGCCGCGACATGGCGCCACTTAAAGAGTTAACACCCAGCCCCGCCCCGCTCTCAAGATGTGTGCTCGAAGGCGTGGCTCAGCTGCCGCACAAAGGATACTGAACACTTTGCCCCGGCAAAGTTGCCGCTCAGCTGCGGTCGCCGGGCCGAAAGTTGCAAATAGACTTGAAGCAGCAACAGCAGCAGGCTGCTCGCCAGGATATCGTTGTGAATATGTACGCGGCAAACGCATACGGATACCTAGCAAATGTCGGCAGCGGGTCGTTTGGCAAACACGCAGACTAATTTTGCATGCAGCGCACAAAAGCAAAAGGAGTTGGCACCAGGCACAAAGGCCGGGCGGCGGGCCCAGTCACAGTCTCAGTCACAGTCTCAGTCACAGTCACAGTCACGCAGTCGATTGATTTGGACTTTAACTGGGGCACACGGCAAGGAGCTGGCTTCAGCTTCCAAGTAAATGCGGCTCGTTCAGCTTTAAGCTCAAGCTGCAGCCTGGCGCCCGAGCAGGAACTAGAAGAACTATGCAAGCACTGGCTAATGTCTGTGGACTAGCACTAACACGTACGCATATGCTATTCAACACACACACACACACACACACACACACTCGAGACAACACACAAGCACACACCCACCTCTCCGTAAGTTTGCTAGTTTGAACACGAAATATTTTATTATTATATATAATTTGCCATTATGATGATTATACGTGGAATACGTTCCGGATTCGGATTTCGATTCCGATTACCCTTGCGCAGGCATGTCCATCCCAATACGGGTTTTCGGATTCAATGAACGTCGCGCCGCCGACGCCACGTTGTGCTGCATACTTTATGGCCTTGGCGAGAGGTGACCATTGGTCCGCTTACCAATTCAATCCACAGGGATGGGTGAAAGGGGGCGCACTTTCATATTGCGGGCATGCCGTGCGAAAAAGGGTAGATGGCGAAAAGTCCAGGGCTTCATGGTCTCGCACCCATTTTTGCAGTGCATGTAAATCCACATGCCAGCTGCAGTTAAACAAGCAAATAAATCGTTTTTATCATTTATTAAAAGTATTCCATAAAGCCAATGTCCAGTCCAATCCAGTCCAGGCCAGTTTTTTCATTACAGCATGCAAACTCAATAAGTCGCAATTATGAACTCATTGATGTACGGCAAACATGCATTAGCTCTTCCAGCAAGCATAAATCGGGCATATATCAAATTCATATTTTAAATAAAGCATTGCTGAGGCGCACATACACATCATTCAGTCACAGCACAAGCGCATACTTTACATCCATCAGCAATCCTTAAGACCTTCGTTTGTCGTCCATCACACATACATACATCAGATATCTAACAGGCAGCCAGACTAACATCGTTCTCCCATAAGGCATACAACAGGCATCTGCTGGCTTGCATCAAGCGTACATCATGCTTACATCAAGCATTTCGAAGGCATTCATCGACATACTTCAGCTTTGCATTGTCATTAGGCATCCGCCATGGCTACGTTAGGCATTCATCAGGCATTTTTCAGTCGTGCATCAGACTTACATTGCATCTAATTCATCTGTCAGGCATAAGGCATAAGAAATTCTTCAGATTACATCATACACATATCAGGGCAAACTTTAAGCATTCATTAGAAATCCTTCAGACTTACATCTCATCAGTCATTCTTCAGTCATTCATTTGTCTTTCTTCAGTCGCACATTGCCGAGTTAACAAAGCATTTCTCAGTCCCATTCAGCTGTTGGATATCATGAGAGACTGTTATGGCGTCAGACCCTACACCAAAGTTGATTGACGGCAGAATTTAAGGCAATTAGCTGGAATTATCATGGCTGGAATTGTCATCTGATTGTCAGCGCTTTGACATGCACATCATCAGCAATGGAGACGGAATCGCTTCGTGCATAAATTAAGCAGCTTGCAACATGGCACGAGAGGGATTGGGAGAGAGGGGATGGACATGGGGAGAGAGAGGGGCGGTACTGGTTGGTAAAAAGCTCAAGTTGCACTTAATTAACTGCAATAAGAAACTGAAATAAAGCCACAAGCGGAGCGGCGAACAGGGACAAAGCGAACATGATTAACATAATGCAAATGGGGCTGATGATAAAAATGATGACAATAATGACACTACTGATGATGATGATGATGATGATGATGATGGAGCTGGGGAAATGTGCAACAAAGGCGAAGCGCTACGAACTGGGCCAAAGTCTCATAATTCGTTTAGCTAATTTTGGCTCGTTAGTTTCGAATGGAGACGAGACTGACTGCAATAATAATTGCGTTAATAATTGCTAATGGCCAATCATTGGCAATAGCATTGGCCGACAGCGCGCCGGCAACAAATGTTGCCAAGCAGCTGGCAACATATGTTGCCAAGCAGCTGGCAACATATGTTGCCAAGCGCATCGGGCTGCCCAATTGGCCCAGAGCGGTTCGTGCCGTCTCGTGTGGCAAGTTCGTTTGCGACTTCGGCGCCGGTTGCCAAGTGGCAGGTGGCAAGTGATAAACATAGCCTGCAACAGCTACGCGCCCGCCCCCGCCCCTGCCCCCCGGCCCGTCCCACGCCACCGCGACCCGCTTCACTTACATATTCATATCCAGTTTCAGTGTCAATTGCAGTTTTCAATTTCGTTTGTCAGACCCTTCACCTGCTTTTCCGCACAGCGACGGAGCCACAAAACAAGCGCCGATACAAATTTCAACTATTTCCGGCCGTATCTTTGGACCGAGAAGAAGAAGACAAAGAAGAAGCAGCAGCAGCAGCAGGGCCTCCTTTGAATTCCGCGCATTTCTCGGCACGCAAAAGCGGGTGGCAGCTATCACAAGAAATAAAAGCCAAAAAAAAAAAGGAAAAGGAAAAGTGGAAGAAAATTGAGAAAAAAAAGAGAGAAAGGAAGAAGAAGAAGAAGAAAAATAAAATGAAAGAGAAGAACCAAATAGAAGGAGAGCTCAAGGAAGTATAAGCCCGCCCAGTCGAAAACCAAATACAAAAGTGCTCTAGTCGAGCACTTACGACTAGCAGATACCCTGGATTTAACCAATAGCTCCCAAAACATTCGCACTTCCTCACACACACACACACACACGCACACACAGCCGCTGTGCTTCTTCTAGCTGTTGCTTAATGTCTGCGCTTTTTGATCTGTTTTGCGAAAGCTTTGTTTTCATTTTGTCGGAAATAAGGTAGTGTATCGAAGTTTTGGTGTAGAAAATAACGAATGTCTCAATATGGATTGTTTTCAATATTACGAGGTATTTATAAAATCGGCTGCCGTTTTTTGCATTGATCGTCGTTTCACTCGTCCATCGATCGACTCAGTTGGCCAATTGTTGATTGAGAATTTTGATATACTTATTTGAAAAGCTCGCAGTTGCTTCTTTCTATACGATAGCCAAGTATTATAAGACAAATATAAGATTCGCATTATTGTTAGATCTAGAAAAGGTTTTAGTATTCGTCAATTAGCTTTTAGATACGTTAATACAGGCTAAAATGCAGCGCCGCTTGTTAAAATTCCCAAATGCTTCTAACATATTTTTGAATAAGCTCGCAGATGCTTCCTTCTGCCCGTCACACATACCCTTTGGGCGAGTTTCAAGAGGTTCGGCTCTAAAAACCAAACGTAATGCAAGAGAAACGAATGCCAAGCCGAAGATTAAATACTCTTGTGCAGATGTGTGGCTTATAGATGATCTATTCCGATGTTGATTCGATTTTGCTTATCAGAAGATTTTCATAAATGACAATATCTCTTCAGACGCTAACCCATCTTCCAATCGATTCGTGCGATCTTGATAAGATTTGGCTCACATATAGCATAGTTCCGATCCATCTAAGGCAAGAAGACGAAGCATGTTTCTTGATGAGCGACAAACTGGAAACAAAAGTAAAGAATATAGAATAACCATCAGGGGTATTAAACAGAAACAGGCTCAAAGTGAGCTGTACTTGAGTCTCAGCCCGAGCAACACCTGGGGAAGAGGCAAGGCTTGTGGGATTGTTTGTGGCACCTGCAATCACGCCTACCTGTGGCTCAGCTGGGTTGCTTTGACTGAGCTACAACAGGCGCCGAACTATCAATATTGTACCTTCACAAGCTCCTTTTTGTGCATTATTTCAACGTCCTGACATTGCAATTTCGAAGAACTTCAATAACTTCAAAATAAAGAAAACTTAAAACTTGAATATTTTTCCACATTTTCCGTTCTCCAAATGTGCCTTCGAGCTTCGCACAGACTGAAGTGAGATTTTGATAAAGCTGAAACAAGCTGAAGTTTTTGGAAAAGCAAACTATGTTGCGTTAAAATATGTCACAAATTGAAAAGAAAATTAAAATATAGTAAGCCATTTCGTAATCCAAGTCTAGCATCTTGTTGACAAACAGTCAGAGCTGGGAATCTAACTTTAAGCTTTTTATAAATTCGCCAGGAAAATCAACTTGACATTTCTCATATATAAAAATATATATTCCAAGGAAAATATAAATTTTCCAATCTATACGATAGCCAAGTATTATGAGATTTGCATTAATGTTAGATCTAGAAAATGTTTCAGTATTCGGCAATTTTTTAGATACGTAAATACAGGCTAAACTGCAGCGCCGCTTGTTAAAATTCCCAAGTGCTTCTAAGCTAGTGTTGTAAATCGATTTCTTATAGAAAAAAAGCAAAATAGTGTTGCGCAGCGAAGTGAAACGAAGTGGAAGTGCAACAAGCAAACATTAAGAAGAGTAATTCTATTCGGTTTTTATAAAGAATTAACATTTTTGAATTATGCAGCTACAAATTTAATCAATTTGTTCTTGGCCAAACAAAAGACATTGTTTAATAAGATGAAATTAAAAAAAAAAAAAACAAATAATACAAAAAACATTTGCAAGTATATTTGTGAGTGGGAAATTAAGTGAATGCGCTCGAACCATTTATTTTTAGCGACTAGCTCTCAGGCATTACAGAGAGAGAGAGGGAGGGAGAGGGAGGGAGAGGCCACTTAAGCAATTTAAACTGAAAGTAATTCCGCTAAGATGTTTTAAGAAATTCAAATAGAAATGACAGCAGAAGGGGGACAGGGCGGCCGGAAAGGATGCAGGACTGGCGCAAGGATACGGATAATGCCACGATGCGGGCAGGTGAACCGAGACAAAAGCGAGGTGTGCCATCGTCTGAGCAAGGCAGAGCTAAATTTGAAAGTGAAATCAAACAATGCGAAAATAACTTGAAAACAATGTCAGCTATATACATATATATATATATATATATATATATATATGCTTGATATCGGCAAAGCAAAATTGTTGCACCACAAGAAACAAGGCAAAAAGTTTGTTGTTTTTCTTTTGAGTAACTTGGCCAACTCTTCTGCGATATTTACTTTGAAACTTGCGATTTTCTTGAATTCGTTGCAAATATTATTTAATAAACATTTGATTAATAACGAGCTCAATTTTCAGCTTAATTACGATTTGCTGGCGTCTCTTTCATCTTGATTATTATTATATTAAATATTTAAGTTTAATTTCAATTAATTTGTGTCTCCTATTTTTGAGCTTTATTCGAGTTGCTTTCATAAACCTTCCGAGCTGTCAAAAAAATAAAACTTTCTTGGCAAACCACATTTGCACTGTGTGCAGTTGCCGAGCAGACTTGGAATGAGACCCCAATATATGCTATATATTCCTAAAACATGTCCAAGTCCAGCGATACCCAAAGTCAGAGCCTTGTCAAAGTCACAATCACACTCAAAGAACCTAAGGTTGGGTTTCCCAGAGTGGGTTTCTGTGTCCCTGTAGAGCTCTGAGCTCTAACCTTTAACCTTTATACGGCCAACTTAACTGTTCTTCAAAGTACTTAAACTCGATTTAACTCCGAGTCGAGATACTAAGTATCGATAACAAATCGATAGGCCTTGGCCAACCTCATGACAGAAATATTCTCAGTCAGCCAAAGATTATCATTCATTGCAGCTATTTGCGAAATTAATCCAAAATTTAAAACGGAATAGTTATTTTAAATATTAGGTATATATATTTAGTATATGTTTGTCTGTTGGCTAAGCTCAATTTCGCTGAGTGTAGACGCATTTTGAATTTGTTTTGACAGCAGCCAAAAGCCGGTCGAAGCCGTAACCTCCACCTGTCGTTGGCCTGGCTTGAATGCTGTTGCTGCAACCGCAACAGTTGCGGTGACACTTTTGTCGCTTTTGAGGCAAAGGCAAAGGACACTTCGAGTCAAGTGCAGCTAAGTTGCAGCTGGCCATGGTATGGGGGCGGCCCAAGCGCAAACCTTGTTGATTCCATTCTGCGTTTCATCGCACTGTCAACACGGTGATGCATTCATGGCAGGTTGCGAGTTGCGGGTGAGTGCGGGGGGCGGGTTGGGTTTGCAAAGCTGATGATATGCTACCAGCCCGTAGCCCGTAGCCCATAGCCCGTAGCCCACACCCTTCCCCGCCCGCCTGCCCGGCAGCCTGTCCTTGCCAGGCAAAAGTTAACTTAAGCAGCTGCCAAGTGACTTGAAAGTACTTGAGCGCATCCTTAAGCAGGATATCAACTGGCAAAAGCGTTGAAAGGAGCAACAGACACCGACTTGTTGTCTATCTGTCTATCCGTCTTTCCATCCGTCCGTCCGTCCGTCTATCTGTCTGTCTGTCTGTCTGTCTGTGTGAGTTGCATGCGGGCGCTGAGGCAGGCTACGAAACGCCGCAAATCTCAGCCAATGTCAAAGGACCAAACACGCACAGACATACATTCTGGACGCAAGTACTACTTCAATCCCCCCCCTCCTCGCATTTGGCAGCTCCTTCCTGCCCCGTCCCGCCCCGTTGCGCCCCTGAGTTGATTCGCGACCGCGTTGGCAGCACGTTGTGGCCTTTTATTAGATACGTGCTGTATCTCTGTTTACCAAGTTTGATGGTGTTAATGCCTTTTGTTCTTGTTGCTGCTGCCCCGATATACATCTATGTCAACCAGACGACACACAGGGCTACATGCCGCATGCCACATGCCGCATGCCGCATGCCCATATTCCTGTTGCCTTTGGGCTTCAACTTGGGGCATGCCAAGTTGAAAAGTGCAGCGTATGTGCTTTTGTTATCCTATGGGGGGCAGGACTGCGGGTGTCTGGTGGGCGTGCCAACCTTGACTAGCTAACTGGCCCCCACAGCTTTACAGCTTTAATGCTGGCCCCGTTTATATGGCCGCTACAAAGTGCTCCCTGAAACTGAAATTTATATAAAAAATCTAATTTAAATCGAAAATTGTCCGATTTCCTAATGGCCACAGCAACAACAACAACAACAACAACAACAACAACAACAACAACAACAACAACTCGCGCCGCGCATTAAAAATGCAACAAGAATTGTGTTTGGTTCCAATTGGCGGTCATGAGAGGGCTACAATGTGGCCAGACAGGGGCGTAGAGCAGCAAGTGGCAGGAAAGAAAGGGATCTCATATAAAAGAGAACTGTAAGAGCTTAAAGAAGAATTCGTAAGCTAGTGTTGGCTAACAATAATTGGCTACCAATATTTGATTAACTGTGCATTAGGGTAACTAAAGATATATGAACACAGCTTAACACACTTAATCTTTAACTAGAAATCGAGCCGAGGCAGATCCTACGGGCAAATCGAGTCAAAGCTGAGTTGCCTTTCGTCTGCTTCGTGCATTACACAACACTTGTTTAATGCCAGCGTTGCCACAAAGCAAAATGTCCTCATCAAATTACATTAAGGCTGGAGTCTCTAAACAAAGCAGACCTTGTGAATAGGATATTCGAGCGAGTAGCTCGAATTATCATTAAAGACAGTTGCCCTGGGTCCCACAAGCGTTTGTCAATGTGCTAATTTATTACACCTTAAATAAAACCACAAATCGTATAAACGCCTGTCCGTACGAGTGGTCTGTAGGTTGACTACGCCCATGGACGCTTGCCGCAAGGACAGCACAGTGCGCAACTCGACTCAATTCAATTCAACTCAAACCATGAACTGGCTGCTGTTGGTTGCGGTTATACCCTGTAAAACAGCTGTGCAAATGTGTGCTTAACACGCAGCAGATAGAAGAGTCTGAGACTTGAAATTGGAAAAGTAATTTGTCCATCAAAGCCTTGAGCCTTGATTTTTATCTCAAAGAATTCAAGAAAACAGAATTGCAACTGTTTGAACAGAATTCTTGTTATATGCCCAGTAGCCTTTCTGTATTCCTGCAGGTTCTGTATAATAGATGCGCCCTCTTTAAATAGTTTATTGTAGTATTGAAGTAGCAGCAAATCCACTCTCCTTTATTCGAAGAAAAACTCTTGCACTATCGCCTTTCATTTGTCTATCGATATGTGCTTTATCGATACATCGAGTGATTTGCAAATGTTCTTGGATTATTATCGATTGTATGCACATATCGCAATAAGTTATTCAAATTGAACAGAGGTACTTCCTTGACTTATCGAATCTATTTATAGCATATCGATGAGTGTCATTTATCGCCCTTCATTTGTCTATCGATATGTGGGATATCGATACATCGAGTGCATGCAATCGATATTGCAATAAGTTATTCAAATTTAACGGAGATACTTATTCAACTCGAATATATTTAAAGCGTGTCGAGTAATGTTTACATTTCTATAGCACACTTGGCTCAATATGAAGGATATATATATAAGGATATTTATATGATAATAGATTGTTTATTCATCAATTTTAAAGCTTTTCAAGCTAGAGGCACAGTTGGCACGTTTAAAGAAAAAGATTTCAATTTACAGGGCATCCGCTCGGTCGGTCATGCCTGCCAAGAGTAGTTGTTGTTGTTGTTGGTTTGCAGAAACCGGAAATGCGCAAAACTAACGGCAAATGGCAAATGGCAACAGCAAGAGGAACAGGCAGCATCTGCACTTCGAACGGGTCGACACATCGAGAAAGTTGCCACAACGGGCAATAGAAGGGGGGGTGGGTTGATAAAGGTAATGGGTGAAACGGGTGTAGAGTAGGGGGGAGGGGGGAGGGGGGACTAAATGTCATGGTTATGTTAACATGCGGTGCAAATGCAACGGAAATGGCAGTTAAAACTTTTTGCGGACGCGCAATTAAAGCAAATTAATGCAAAATCCATGGGAAAGGGGGCAGGGGCGGTTGGCTAGCGTGGGGGGTGGGGAAGGGTCAGCTTGCTGTTGATGATGATTTGATGGCTGCAGTGGAGGCGACAGCGGCAACCGCGTTGCATGTGG